AAATCCATGCCCGATTGCAATGAATCATGGTGGATTGACTTCGGTTAAGGTGACTTGCAATTTTTGTGAACGAAAAACCACCTCCGCCCAAACCAACAATACGACACCTGTCAACTACTCTTAATTCGCGGTAATTTCCACTTTGGCGTATCTATAGGCATGATCACAGTCTCAAAAGAAACGATTAAAAGCGAAAACAATAAGAACTGAACAAAATCTCGCAAAACGTACACGATATAAGAATACTAGAAAAAAAATGAAAGAACTGTCAAATAAGCCATTACCACTTGATCCATATGATTTATGAATGAAATTTTAATCAATTGTTACCTTTTAGTAGTTAAACGTTTCTGCCAAGTTTGGTAAAAAAATTCCAACTCCTTCTTGGTGTTGCAATTTCCATGTCACTGAGTATACTTATATTTATATGTATGTTACGTTTGTCACTAACTAATTGTTTGTATACGATTTACTCTCCTGACGACCCTATATTAGTAATGTAATCTGAAAGGGAAATAAATAAATATGAAATATGAATATATGCTTTCAGTAAATCGTTTACTTATTTATAATCTTCAAATACTGCTTCTGTTTTACTACAAATTATAAACTAACACTAGACACAATCACGTTTCTTACATATTTTAGTGCATCATCTCCAAAAATTGTTCAAAATGGAAAAAGTAATGAACCGCAAATGGCACACAACAATTAACACTGGTTTCTTAAATGACAGTCATGACAGAAAAAAATTACTAACGAAATTCAAACCGTCAATCTAACAATGCAAAAAATACTACAACCTTACGCGCGAAATTAAAGTGATCATCACTTCTAATGAATCACCCGGTATATTTACCGCCATGTCAACCACGGAATATACAGACATTATCCAGCGTACATTAGCTGTATACGTTTCAAGTGATTTAACTAAGTTAAATCAGTTTCAGTGATTTTTTCGTTTACAATCTTAGACCATACAGTGAATTTTTTTAAATGCGAACATAGGAGTTTGTATGCAATGTAATTTCCCTATGTTCGATTTAAAAAAAAACACATCAATCTATTGAGTAGTTCAAATGAGTAGTAGATACAATTGACAGCTGTCACATTTTTAAAAATACCGTCGTGCAATTTAATTACGAAATCGGTTAGGTTATTGCTTAGAATGTTAAGGAGGACACTTCGAACATTTATTGTAATTGTTTGCGTTATTTATTTTCTTACTTTCTTCATTTATGTATTGAATAAAGCAAATTATAATAGAATACCAGGTGCACATGACCTACAAATAATTGAAGGTTGGTTCACAATGAACTGTGATGTCAGCGCGTGCAATTTGAAGTCAAGTTATCGTAAGTTTACGAAAAATTTATCCTAAAGTTGCTATGGCCCATTGAGTTAGAAAACTAATGGAAGGAATCAAATGCTTGGCCAGACGTAGACCACGGGAACCAAAAGTGGCCTCTAACTGTGATTAAAGTACCACACCACTTCCGTTATCATTAGCGTCTCACTTCAGTGGCGTAGAGATATAATTTTCTTTCCACTAATAGGAATAATAACAAAAAAAATGAAGCGTTGTGAGCACAACAGTAAATTTCGAGAGCTGTTCTTGAGATATATTTACAAATGTTAGGTAACCATTTTGCTCGAAGTACCGGTTCGTTTGGAAAACTAAGAAACATAAACTAGGTACCTACAACCTCGCCTACAACATGATAAATGACATGTCTTACTGATGAAAGGAAATGCCCTGTTTCTTCCCTTTATGAGAAATTCTGCATGATACGCAGCTAATCATTCTCAATTCACAAAATTGCGTGTGATAAAAACACTATGCGGCAGTTAGTTATTTATATAAACCAGAGCACAACACCGATCCGAAATTATTAGGTACTTTAAAATGGCAAATTTAATAAAATTTGAATTTGGTGGAAAACTGACAGTGACAGGACCCGCGGTTTCATAATGTTAAATAATGTCGGCCAAAATGTACCTTCACGGGAACCTATCCACGCGAGTGGCCTCTATCTGTGGCAACTTCCGTCTACAAAAATTCTTACCCCCTCCACCATTATATTCCCTCCATTAGTTTTCTAACTCAATGCTATGGCCCACAGAGTTGTATATAAGTAAATAGAGAGACAGTCTTGTAGCGAAAAATTGACTCCAATTGAACCTTGCGCAGGCCGTTGGTGAGTGTGCGCAGTAATGGACAACAGAACCGGCTTCAAATTAAATGATCCTTAAAGCAGGTTCGGCTTGAGAATAATATGGTTTCTCATTGCAACAAAAATTGAAAAGAAATTCAATGTGTGGTGAATGATTTTGTTAACACTGTGTCTTGAATAAATAAGAAACATTACAATCGTTAAGAACTTTTAATACAGTAGACTACAATACAAAGCTGGTAAGGGGCTTACAACATACAACATCAGAATCGAGAAAAGATTTTTTGAGATTCTGGTATAAAGGAAATCGTATATTTGTCGTGCGACCGAGTTTAAAGATCTATTTATGCACTCAGTGAGTATAAAAATAAGCAATGAAAGAATAAAATAAGTTGAAATTTTATTTTGGTGCGGGACCAAATTTCAGGTGTGCAATGCCGAAAACACAGTTTGAATACGGGTAGCCACAAAGTCGACAAACTGCAAATGCCAATAACTCAAATATCTCAAAAATGGAGCATCGGCCACGTTTGTCCCGACACTTCTTGTATCGAAAACCAAGTTTCAAGAATTGCTTGCGAAGAGTTTTCCTTCCACCCATATATTTGATCTTTTCTTGCACTTTTCTAGGAGCACCTTATTTATGTACAGATCGTCGCCTACTAAACATTGAAATGGCGGTAAAGAGTATAATGTAATGGGCATGCTTAAATTATTACTCCAAAGCGTCTGTTTATTTACAAATGAATCTGAAGCATCTGAAAAGTTATTGCTGTTTGTTTTGTGATTATGTAACTGAATGCACCCAAAAATCGTGCTGATTCCCTTTCACGCACTGCGCATGAGTCCCAACGGCTCCGCCATTAAAAGTCGGCCACTGTAGTTGGAGATATTTTTCCACGCGCAGGTCGTATGTACTGCCTCTCTATTTACTTATATCATTGAATAAATAAATCTGAATTATTCAATGCTTATATACAACTCTGTGCTATGGCCTCACACGTAGTGACGTAGCATACCGATAGATCTAGCCGTGACATTGATTTAGTGACGTCACAACTGGAGATGGGCCACTGCAACGCGATACTATGTGTTTAAATGCAATTTCATTCGCGTGCGTACTCATTTAACGCGAAAACATTTAGTAATTACTTATTTTGAGCCGCAGGATTGTTATATGTTGTTTCCTAATTATAGACACGTTATTATGCAAAAATTTTATTAAATACGTACATAAACAACAAATACTCACTGAAAACCGAGCTGAAAACAAATAAAATTTAATCATTCTAATACACACATTTGCCTTTTTTAGCGTAAGGCTGCACCTACATTGGAAGCCGATTAGGTCTGGTCAGCCAACCCGACCAACCAGGCCAGACCAGACCCGACCCGACCAGACAAGGCGCTCCTACACTGCAGATGGTTTTGATGCAGTACAGTGTCGAATCTCGACTAGAAAAGTTGTCTTTCCCCAGTTGTGATTATTTCAATGTGCTTCACTGTTGAAAATGGACGAGGAACTTTTTGATTTTATATTAATGGACCAAAATTTACTACTTAACAAACCCACGAGAAAGTGGGTTCATGAGTTTAATGAAGACCACAGTCAAAGCGAATACTACTCAACCTGCTTGCCTATGCGTGGTCATCCAGACAAATTTAAAAAATATCCTAGAATGACCGTTGAAACATTTGACTACATTTTGTCACACATAGAAGGGGACATACGGAAGTGGAGTAACTTCAGGACACAGGACTTGTATAGAGCCAGCAGAAAAACTGGGATTGGGACTGGGAGAAAAACAAACTATTTTGATTCTTGTCAGACCAGTTCAGACCCGTCCCGACTTCCCGGAACGACAACATACTCTAGTGTAGGAGGGGACACGGCGCCTTCGAGTTTGTTTTCGTCAGACTCGGCCAGACCCATTCAGACCCGCCCAGACCGTCAAGTCTGAAGAAATTCCACTTCCAATGTAGGTGCAGCCTAACACAACGAAGTTGAGGTAACGCTTATGTGCTCGTTATTCCGTCGTCTGCCTATCTGTCTGTTCCATCGAGATCTCGGCCCCTGGACCACCTAGAGACTACAGGTTTTCGGTCATTTGTAGTTGCAAAGGTCTATATTTTCCGGTTACTCATCATTTACATCCTTTTCATATATGATGGCTGATTTTCAAAAATTGTGGGATCGTGTCTTCGGCAAGTTTAATCTGGTCTCGTGGAACTGTTAATACTGTATCGTCTTATCTAGTCATCTTGTCTACCCGAATAATAAAAATGTCGGAGAAATGCTTTATACAAACCCTGGAGTGACTAGTAATTTCAAAATTGTCCCGGTGAATACATCTTAACCACTTTTTTTGATCGTCTTCATTTTTCGGAAAACGAAAAACCGTAAGGAACCTTGTCTCTTGAACTATAATTGCTTTTGCAACCAGGGACGCAGCACGTATTTGGGATTTTCTTACTTATTCTGTTCGAATACGGTTAATTTAAGTGTACAACATTAAACTACTTGGAATTAATTACATTAAAAGTCGATATGACGGCCGCCGTCAGTTGTGACGTCAACGCAATAGTCGGTATGTGTGTCACGGCTAGTTCTATCGGTAGGCTACGCCACACATGGCTTAATTAAAAAAATCTTACCGAGTGCTCTTCATCATAAAGACTATGAATTGCTGTTCATAGTCACACAAATTGCGCGTTTTGGGAATGTGAACCGCGCACATCTCATAGATTGATGTGTTTTTTTAAATCGAACATAGGGAAATTACATATCATGCAAACTCCTATGTTCGCATTTAAAAAAAATTCACTGTATAGCCATGTACTATATGGTCTAAAATTGTAAACAAAAAAAACAAAGTGCAATCACTAGTTAAATCACTTGAAACGAATACAGCTATTGTTGATTGTATTCTGTGGTCTGAACGGTGTTCTCTAACCTATAAAACGGGATCTAGCCAAAGACTTTTTAAGTATTAAAAATGAATTCTAAATTGCCTTATACGGTTTCTTTGAATTTATATCGAAAACTGAGTTTTGGAAAATTTAAATCATGGTACTGTGGCTTAGTAAAGAAAGCACCACCAATTCCTCCATATTCACATATTATTCAGACAGGTGATCCTGCACTAAGAGTAGTTTCGGAACAGGTACCCAATAATCTCGTGCATACTCCCGAAATAAAATTCTTAATGCAAAGATTAAAATCAGTGTTTGAAAGATATGGTTGTGTTGGTTTATCTGCGTGCCAAATTGGAATTCCGCTACGAATAATTATTGTGGAATTCAACAATAATCATATGAAGCAGTACTCCGCAGAAGAATGTAAGCATAAAGAAATACAAGTTCTACCACAAACAGTTATGATTCACTACCTGTGAAATGTTCAATTTTTTTAGTTAGTTTTGTTGTAGCTAGATATTAGTTAATCCCGAATTACGAGTCTTGGATTACACAAAGATCACTCATACAGAGGGATGCGAGAGTGTCAGAGGATTTATTGCAGATGTGCCTAGGTATCGTTCAGTGGAAATTAAAGGTAAAATTTTTATTTAAAAGATTGTATTTGAATCTATACCTTATAATTAAAAGGTGCCAATGAAAATGGAGAGGAAATTATCCTGAATGCAAATGGGTGGATTTCGAGAATTTTTCAACACGAATTAGACCATCTTAATGGAAAACTATATACAGACATAATGGACCGTAAAACTTTCTCCTGTAGTTGTTGGGAGATTGTAAATGAAAAGGGTGGAAAAGTTGAATTACCATTTAGTCCATAATTTGTGATATTAACAAATGTCTGAGTTACCTACATTTATGTTAATTATTTATTAATCAAATTATGTAGAACCATGTTTCCCTGTGCAGTTCCTTATTGTTAATCTAGCTAAAACCTGTTGTCTTCTTGTTATTTGGAAATGTGTTTTTTGCACAGAATCAATAAAAGAAGATTAAGAGCAGTAATACTTTCATGTCATTTTGTTTAATAAGGAGTGTGGGGGCGGGACACTTCCCCAAATGCCCATAATGCAGACACGTCATTTTGATGGTCCATATATTGCCGACCGTGCCCACATCATCGACACGTGTGCAAGGAACACTAAGCTGAACGTGACCATATCATCTACTCATACAACAGTTCTTAACACGTTGAGGGACACACGCCGTACAGCGTCATAGATTTATATACAAACTTGACATGACGCCGTACAGCGTCCTCCGTTTAAGTACGTGTATTCGACAAAACGCTGTGCAGCGTCAATCTTGCAATATAACCCAATGATACTTGAATACTTCTGTCACACTTTCAATTTCCATTTTTGTTATACTGTCATAACTAAGGGTTTTTTACTCCCACCAGCATCATTCATCTTTATGCATTCGCGCGATGCAAATTGGCGCGGTACCCTGTACGGCGTCGCTAATACCGTTTGTTACTGAAGTGGTGTACGGGCACTGTCGTTTTGGCGGGAAGTCGTGTTTATAAGTTGTTTGTTTTTGTTATTTAGTGATTTTCTGTAGGACAAGTTAGTGAAAGGTATTGCATATCGATTTCTATGAGTTCAAGGATCAGTGCTATTGAAAATGAGCCGGATTAAAAGTATGGTTTCCGAATACGAGCCGAGTGGCAAAAATTGCCCTACTGAAAATCGTATGCGATTCTTCGTATCTTGTTCTTATTACTAGGTATTACTGGCAAGGGGGAGGGTAAGAGTGAGTATCCAGCTTGACGTCTATCAGAGTCGGGGCCATATGGCGTACGTATGAGACACACCTAACAAAGTACGCCAGGACGCTGATCAGCGTCAATAAAAAAAGTGACGGAAGGAAGGGCTTTAGAACTAGTTTTATTTCTCAACCCGAAATAGCAATACAAAATGAACAATTGGCAAGTATACAATTGAAGAAAGTATACTGTCACAATTTGAATTAAACGCATCCCATATGTGTCCTTCAACTTGTTAATGAAGCTGGACGGTGTGCAACACCAAGTAGCTTTTGACGTTAGGTTATTGTAGGTTTAGAATATTTTTTTTAACTTTTTTCGGCGTAGTGTCCCTACTTGGCGATATGGACCATCAAAATGACGTGTCGGCAATTCCGCATTGTGGGCATTCGGCGCAGTCTCCTAGACCAAAAAGCTGTGCCAGTGCAGAGTTTTACATAATTGTAGTTTAATATACAGGGTGTTCCTTAAAGACATGTTAATATTTAAGAGGGTGATTAAGAAAAAAAACTTGGTATTACCACCATGTATAGTTATAATAATAATATTATTTATTGACAGCCAAGCGAATTTATACATAAATTATTAACAATAACAACAGTATTTTCATTAGTATAACAAGATATATAGATATTAATAAATAATACAATAATAAATTACATAATAGCAAGGAAAAACCAACAATTAGTAAATATAAATTGTAGGTATATCTCAAATTAAAATAATTTATGACTAAGTATAATATATTTAGTTTATATTTATAATAGAAATTTAGATTTTAAGGTAGACGGTTTCATTATTTTATCAGAAATTCGGCAATAACTCCGATTACCAAAATCACGTTAAGCCATGAAAATTTTCTAAAGAATTGACGAGTGGGACGCTAATTAAAATATCGCGTACAGTAACTATTTTCGCCGTCGTTTATTATAAATACTTTTTCCTCAGTGAATAAATTTAAAAAAAAATTATTGACAGTTGTCATAAATATTCAATTCATATGGAATAACGAGTTTTTGATTTAAAAAAACCGATACAACTGAATACCGAACGATCCTCGAGATATTCACGCATCCATCATTTTTAAACGCGCCTTAAGGGGTTGATTCTGTCCCACCAGATCGGAATAGCTTGTAAAACAAAAAATTGCGCATGCGCAAAACAAATTTTTTTATTCGGCATTAGTTTTACTTTTACTCAAGGTGCCTACATCTTAAATTTCAATTAAATATCTTAAAAAAATAAAGAAAAATTGGGATTGCGCAAATACAAAAGTTAGGTTGCGCATGCGCAATTTTTTTATTCATCTGCATAGTTACCCGGGGTTTAAGGAACATTTACTAACACAGCAAACCGGATGTTCTTTGTAACAAGAATTACAAAAGAAGCCCTTTTTTGGAGGTTTGAGCAATTTTTGGGCTGTAACTTTTTGCCCCTCTAGTATGCGTAGCTGAAAAACAATAGCGACTTGTCTTATATCCTTAAGAACAGATGTTTCAATTTTAGAAGCGATCGGACGTTTCTATACAAAGTTATCGTCGTCACGGACAGACGAACAGACAGCAATACAAAATTATAAACAATCTCGAGGATCGTTAATAATGAGAAATACAACTGAAAATGAACTAATTCGTATATCACTAGATAAAGAAAAAAAATCTTCTTTCGATTGGTGTCATTATAAACCCGCTAAGACCTAAATTATCATGGGGCGCAACAATCTGCAAAAAACCTTTTTCCCATGTTAATTGCGTATGTTCGTTTTTGGAATATTTTTATTTTATGCCCGTGTATACCGGATGGTGCCTAGCGCGACGCAGCATAGGGACTTCAATGGTAATTGTTTTATAGTAAATTACTAGCAATAACTAGCTCCCCAAATTATTTTAGAGCAAAACTTAAATACGTTTTTTTAGAGAAAAAAATACTGCATCTGTTCATACTATTAATTATAATTTTCCGTTTTTCAAAACCGTACAAATCGACAAAATAAAAAGGTTCATTTTACAATAAATCGGATATGCCTTGGAATGACCTAAAAAAAACAGCGATCCTGTATCAGTATTTGCCTTTGACGTTTATTAAATTTAATAATTTATACTTTTGTTTACAAATTAGTTAAATAACTGCAAGTGCAATAACGTTCAAAATCAGTTTTTTCTTCTTCGATTATGTAGGTACTCTGGTTCCGAAAAATGATAAACAAATAGTATCTGATGCAGATGCAGCATTACATTCTCTAAAAAAACATTACCCCATAGATGCCGTTTATTGCGTTGGTTAGTTGAAACAGAATTAAGGTCCACGCAAACCGACGCGGACGCGGGAGCGGTACGGATGCGGGAAATATTTCTACAGCGGTATATGCGTGCGAACCGCCGCATCGGTGTGCGTGCTCGCATATCCCGCTGTAGAAATATTTCCCGCATGCGGTACCGTGTCCGCATGTCCGCGTCGGTTTGCGTAAACCTTTAAATATGAAAATCGTTCGACGTCACACAACGATAACTTAGATGCGATGCGCTTCTAGTTTGTTGAAAGATTCCAAAGCATTACTGATTTATAAAAATGTAATTTTTTATTTTGTGGATTTCTACGGTTTTGAAAAATGGAAAATTATAACTAATAGTATGAACAGATGCAGTATTTTTTTATTTTTTTCTCTAAAAAAAAGGTATTTTGAGTTTTGCTCTAAAATAATTTGGAAAGCTTGACTATAAAGAAATTACCATTGAAATCCCTGTGCTGCGTTGCGCTAGGCACCACCCTGTATATGTGTATTTGACAACACTCCATCATAGCCGAGCACAGAGCATAGCGTATTACACTTCTAAAATTTATGTGGTGTCGGCGGGGGGGGGGGGGGCGACGGTATGACGTCATCCTAGAGCTGGGTATGAGTATTACATGTATTCCTGAATGTGGAACAACACCGATTAAGGCAAGACTTTATTCAAAATTTATCGGTTTCTTTCAATTTACGAACATTAATTTCGATTCCCAATAGTATGAGGCAACTCATATCAAAATTTCGTTCAGATAAGTAGATAAATACAAAAACCGCTAAATTTTGAATAAAAGCGATGCCGCCGAAACGCATTCGGTGTTTCACCAGCGCCCTCAAACGTCACTAGGTCAATACCTTTTTTATTTATCTACTTATCGAAACCAAATTTTGATATGAGTTGCCTCATACTATTGGGAATCGAAATTAATTTTCGTAATTTGAAAAAAACCGATACATTTTGAATACAGCGATCTCGCCTTTGTTCCACATTCAGGAATACCTGTAATACTCCTACCCAGCTTTCGTTATACGCATCCGGGCTGCTGTAGCGCAATGACGTCATACCGTCGCTATCTTCACACACATTTGATGGGATGCTAAAATGATATAATATACCCCAGAACTATATATAGTTTGTTGTTCTATGTAATATACAAAGTATCACAATAATCCGCCGGTTTGGAAGTACCTTTTTACCGTATAAAATTAGTTTTCAAGAATGGCTAAAAATGACGCAAACTCCAATAAAATGTAATCTCTCCAGGTATTGGAAACTTGGTCATTCATATCATATTTCTTGGAAACAGTGTGCCCTCCGCACATGCAGTTGCCCATGCCCAGGGTATAGATGCACCGAAAGTGGCAAAACATTTTCAAATTCACATCTCACAGCTCAAAATTACCTTTCCATGCTACTTAGGTGATAATTTAAACAACAAAATTGTATTTTAATTTATTTAAAATTTATACGAATTAATATAAGATTAAAACTTAACATTAGTGCCCATTTTAATGTAAAATGGATAAATAGAAAGAAAAATAAATGCTACTATAGGACATGAAATAAAATAAGTCCTTTATAGATATCCACAACATTCGCAAACAAAATTAAAAATGTAAACATGTGGTACCATTCTAAATAAACTACGAGAACAAACACTAAATACCTAAGAATAAATGTAATAGTAACCCCCGAAGATCTTATAAATTTTTAATTATCTTAAAAAAATGTCACACAGTAATAATTCACTTTTTCAGTAAAATTTGCATAAGATTTGTTCTAAAATTGTTCACAGTTTTTTCCAACTCTGCAACTTGCGCTTTTAATTTCATGTTTTTCTCTAACAGCTCATCTGCCTCGTCCTCTTGCGCACATTCTTTTAATTTCCTTTTGAGTCGCGACTTTCGTGAGGCCTCGTTATTTTTATCCCTCATTTCCCTATACC